TTTTAATCAAAGTGATTCACTTGTGTGTTTCATTCCAAATTCCTAATCCTATATCTTGAGAGTGGTTCTCTTGAGTGTGAGTTTTAGGTTCTAGTTATTTAAATAAGTGTGTGATATCTTATTTGAATGCTAGACTCAACCCCAAGTTAAGATAAGAGTGTGTGATATCTCTTAACACCAACTTGGCTTTTCCCAAAGAAATACTTCTTTTCTTGTCTTGAGCTGTGAAATAATCGATTATCGCTACAAGAAATCGATTATCTATCCCTCGTGAAAACATCTGCAGCCTCCAATAGTCGATTATCACTTTCAGATAATCGATTACCAGCCTTTCCCAGAACTCTGCACTTTTCAATAATCGATTTCCACTCTTCCATCAATCGATTATTATCCTTCTCAGAAAATTCCCAGAAAACTACCCAGAACCTGTAGCCGTCCATAATCGATTATCCATTTAGGACAATCGAATATCACCACCTCCTTACAAATAAAGAGGTTGTAACTATAAAACCTTGAGCTTGGGTATAACATTTGGTATCGGAGCTAAGTGTTGAACATTCCCAAGGGCCACCCACCATCACTCCCTTCCCTCTTCCCAAACAACCCCCACAGCCCAACTAAACAACCTTCCTCACAATTTTCCCACTTCAACCATGTCAAATGAATCTCGAACTATGTCCCATGAAGAGCTCATTGCCTCAAATACAGCCTTGAAAGCACAAGTAGAATACTTGGCTAAAGAGGTAGCCAAGCTTACGAAGATGAAACTCAACGAGCTCCAAGGAAGTGACCGTGAAGAAGACGTTAGCTCTAGTGGAACCATGAAACCTAAAGCCAATGAAGGTTCTGACTTCAAAGTTGACATTCCAACTTTTGAAGGGAAGAACGACCCGGACGAGTTCCTCAAGTGGCTAGAAACAGTGGAACGCGTCTTTGACTTCAAAGATGTTTCCGACGAAAAGAAGGTCAAGATAGTGGCCTTAAAGTTCCGGAAGTATGCATCAACTTGGTGGACTAATACATGCACCAAGAGAAGAAGAAACGACAAGGAACCGATGTCCACGTGGGTAAAGATGAGGTCCCTTCTAAAAAAGAAGTTTTTACCCGCCGAATATGTTCGTGAGAATTTTGCTAAGCTTCAAACGCTTAGACAAGGGTCTAAGTCCGTTGAAGAATACAACCGGGAGTTTGAAGAGCTCTTGCTGAGATGTGACTTGCAAGAAGACGATGAACAAACCTTTGTTCGTTACCTATTCGGCTTAAACCTGCAAATAGCCAACACGGTGGAGTTGCAAAGTTACGACTCTCTTGAAGAACTCACGAAGTTGGCCCTCAAAGTTGAAGCTCAACATAAGAAATCCAAAGCCTTTTTCTCCAAAAATAACACCCCTTCCCCACGCCCCTACTCCTCCACATCCAAACCACCTTACCCTTCATCAAAATTACCTTACACTACCCCCAAAAATCCCACTACTGCCCACAGCACAAACCCCTCCTCCTCCTCCCCATCTACCTCAAGAAACCCCTCCTCCTCTTTCACACCCCGGGCTGATCCCACCAAGAAAGCACCTGTTTGCTTTCGGTGCCAAGGACGAGGTCATTATGCCAATGAATGTCCTAATAAGAAGGTAATGGCCATTGTCGAATGTGATGAAGAAGAATTTGACCCAACTTGGGTTGAAGAAGAAGCGGAAGAAGTGGAAGAACAAGATGAGTACGTAGGTCCCGATGATGGCGAACTCTTGGTCATCCGAAGGACGTTGAGCACTCTATCATGCCCCGAGGAACAACTACAACGAGAAAACATATTCCACACCCGTTGCACTGTCCAAAAGAAGGTGTGTTCCCTCATCATCGATAGTGGAAGTTGCACCAATGTGGCTTCCAAAACCATGGTAGACAAGCTGCGTTTGAAGACGTCACCACACCCAAAACCATATACGATTCAATGGTTGAATCATGGCAAGGGTCTACGTGTTGACACACAAAGTCTCATTTCCTTGAGCATTGGCAGTTCGTACAAAGATGACGTGTGGTGTGATATCATCCCGATGGATGCTTGCCACATCCTCTTAGGACGACCGTGGCTGTTTGATCACCGAGTGCAACATGATGGTTATGCCAATACTTATTCATTTTTGATGAATAAGAAGAAGATCACCCTTACCCCTTTACCTCCTCCTACACCCACGGCCAAACCAACCAAAGAACAACCTCCCGTTCTTATCTCCACTATCCTTCAAGCAGAACAACATGAATTCCATGGGATTAAAGATTTGATCCTATTGGAAGATGGAGAAGCCGAACCATCAAACTACCCAAGACAGCCTCATCCCTTAGCCGAGCCTATCATCCTAGAATATGCCCATGTTTTCCCCGATTTCCACACGGTCTCCCTCCTAAACGAGACATCCAACACAAAATTGACCTCATTCCGGGGGCTGCCCTACCCAACAAACCCGCATACCGAATGAACCCCGAAGAAACGAAGGAAATTCAACGTCAAGTTGATGAGTTGTTAGCCAAGGGCTTTGTAAGAGAAAGTCTTAGCCCGTGTGCTGTCCCGGCACTTTTGGTACCCAAGAAAAATGGAACGTGGCGTATGTGTTGCGATAGTCGGTCTCTCAACAAGATCACTATCAAGTACCGGTACCCGATTCCCCGTTTGGAAGACATGTTGGACGAATTGCATGGCTCTAAGATCTTTTCAAAAATTGATCTTAGGAGTGGATATCATCAAATTCGAATCTTTGACGGAGACGAATGGAAGACAACGTTCAAGACGAAGTTTGGGTTATACGAATGGTTGGTTATGCCATTTGGATTAACCAATGCCCCGAGCACGTTCATGCGGCTTATGAATCAGGTCTTGAAGCCGTTTATAGGTCATTTTGTCGTTGTCTACTTTGACGACATTCTGATTTATAGCAAAAATGAGGAAGATCATGCTAATCACCTTACTTTGGTGATTAAGAAGTTAGACGAGGAGAAGCTGTACGGGAATCTTGAGAAGAGCCAATTCTTTTCCCAGGAAACGGAGTTCTTGGGATACTTTATCTCGAGTGAAGGAATCAAAGTTGACGAAAAAAAGACTCAGGCCATAAGGGACTGGCCCGTTCCCACGTCAATGCAGCAAGTTAGAAGTTTTCATGGACTTGCATCTTTCTACCGGAGATTCGTGAAGGATTTTAGCACCATCACGGCACCTATCACGGATTTGACAAAAAATCAGAAGTTCGAGTGGAATTCTAAGGCCCAACAGGCCTTTGAGACAATCAAGGAGCGATTAACACATGCCTCCGTGTTAGCCCTTCCTAGTTTTGACAAACTATTCGAGGTCGAGTGTGATGCCTCGGGAGTTGGAATCGGGGCTGTCCTTTCCCAAGAAGGGCACCCGGTGTCGTACTTTAGCGAGAAGCTAAACGACACAAGAAGAAGATATTCCACATACGACAAGGAGTTCTACGCATTGGTACGGTCACTTGAGCATTGGCGCCATTATCTCGTAAGCAAGGAATTGATCTTACATTCCGACCATGAGGCGCTAAAATACATCCAAGGGCAACATAAACTCCGACCTCGGCATGCTAAATGGGTCGAGTATATCCAAACCTTCACCTTCACCATCAAACACAAGAACGGAACCATGAACAAGGGCGCCGATGCCTTGTTCTGGAGGCATTTATTACTAACGGTACTTAGTACCAAACTTGTTGGTTTTGAGTTTTTGCAGGAGCTGTACAAGGAAGATGAAGACTTCAAGGACACTTATTCTAAGTGCCTCATTCGGCCCTATGGAGATTTTCTTGTCAAAGACGGTTATCTCTTCCGTGGTAATCAACTGTGCGTCCCGAAATGCAGTATGCGCGAAACCCTCATTGAAGAAGTCCACGAAGGAGGCCTAGCTGGTCATTATGGAGTCGAAAAGACTCACATGATGATGAAGGAGCATTACCACTGGCCAAAGATGGAACGAGACGTCGAGCATTTTATCAAGCGTTGCAACACATGCCACCTAGCAAAGAGTCACTCACTACCCCAAGGAAAGCACATGCCACTGCCCGTTCCTTGTGCACCATGGGAAGATATTAGCTTGGATTTCATCACCGGGTTACCGAGGACGCAGCAGGGCAAATATTCAATCATGGTTGTCGTGGACCGTTTCTCAAAGATGGCCCATTTCGTACCATGTGTTACCACTTATGATGCTTCACAAGTTGCGGATATCGACTTTCGAGAGATAGTCAAACTCCATGGCGTTCCTCGAAGCATGGTATCGGACAGAGACACCAAATTCATTAGTCATTTTTGGATGACTCTTTGGAGAAAATTGGGTACTAAACTGAAGTTTAGTACGTCAAGCCACCCACAAACTGATGGCCAAACCGAGGTCACCAACCGCACCCTTGGAACACTCTTACGAGCCCTCATCAAGAAGAACATCAAGCAATGGGAGGAGCTTCTTCCGCACGCCGAGTTTGCCTACAACCGAACCCCGAACAAGACTACCGGACTATCCCCATTCACGGTGGTCTATGGTTCGAACCCCTTGACCCCACTTGAACTTGATCCGATCATCACGGAAACCAAATACAGTTGGGAAGCAGACAAGCGGTCAAAGGAAATCCAAGACCTTCACGCCAGGGTTCGAGAGAATATTGAGGCTATGAACGAGAAGGTAAGCGCACGCATCAACAGAGGAAGGAAGAACGTCCACTTCCAGCCAGGAGACCTTGTTTGGATTCACCTTCGGAAAGAGCGTTTCCCCACGAAACGCAAGTCAAAGTTGCTGCTAAGAGCCGATGGCCCGTTGGAAATCATAGAGAAAATCAACGACAATGCCTACAAGTTTAACCTTCCGGGAGATTATGGAGTATCGGCTACTTTCAATATCAAGGACATCAGCCCGTACTTCGAGCCTGAGGAACTGCCGAGTTTGAGGACAAACTCTTCTGAAGAAGGGGAGGATGATATACCCCCGACCACCAACAACGATCCTCGAGTCCTTAAACAAATCTGTGGAATAATGTCCAAGTGTTTTAATCCTTTTTGGAATGAATACATCACCCATAAACCATACAACCCGACCCTGGTCCTATTGGACCTTCCCCCACCTTGATGGCCGAAAAGTACCACCCAAAACCACCCCTCCCAAATATCCAAATCAAACCCAAGTCCCTTCCTTTTTTTTACCCTGGCCGAACCCACACACCCCCACAACACCTCATCACACTTCAAACCATATGCTAAATCCACAAACCCTTTTCTTTTCCCTGGAAT